TGGTCCGCGGATTAACAATCGCAGTATCAGACGTCTCGCAACTTATGCCCGTCGCTCGTCCGGGTATTTTACGTATGGCGTAAACGCGTTAGTTATAGCGCCATTTATCGGCTCACGGGGCGAAATGGGGTAATGGATTCTCCTACTGGTGGCAAGAGAATACATTTCGACCACACCAGAGGTAAACTGTTCAGACCGGCAAAGGCGAGCAGTGTCAAAGTTGCGAGACATCTTTTTTTATAGACTAAGGGTGACGTCAAACGAGCACACAATCCACCTAATGGTAAGTGGATGCTGTGAACCACAGACAGCTGCATACACGTAGTCTAATATGGCATGAATCGTTTTCAGTAAAAAGGGCCTTCGGTTCTCTACACTCTCACCATACGAAACACAGCAACATTAGGCTGCTAAGGTATTATGTGAGAGTGTGGTCCTACACCGGTAGAGCCGGCGCTTTCGTGCCACGACCATAATATATATATATATATATATATAAAAAAAAAAAAAGGTATCTATATGGGACTGTCCACTTTAGCGAGGCGATTACATGTCTGGTGGTTACAGGATGATAAAGATTGAGTTATGAGTAAACTACCAGGATAAATTAAATTATTATCTAAAAAGATACAAACACATTACATCATGTTACCATATCGGCGGCTTATTAAAATGCTATGCGCACGTCATGTCTAATGATCTTGACCTCGGATGATTTAATATTATAATGTTAATGTGTACCTACTTGAATGAGGATCGAGAGTAATCTTGTTCTTTGAATAACGATCTATTATATAATAGCGATCTGCCCCGGCTTTGCCCGGGTGATTTCTGGATTTCGACAACGGTGCCACCTACCGGGTCTAACTGACCGAATCTAAACCATCTTGGGACTATATACACACGAAAAAAATCATAAAATTTGGTCGAGCCACTTTCGAGTTTAGGCTGGACTTATGGACGGCAATTGATTTTTACATAACATAAACACTCACGCCTGTCACCCAGAGGGGTAGGCAGAGACTACAGACCTGGCAGATCCTGCACACTCTTGCCTCCTTCACATCCATACACCTACGCATACATGCTCGTCGGTTAAGGGTACTCCTAATTTGGCCCGTTTTCAATAAATCGCCAATTTGGTCGATAAATTTTCGCCTAAGACGTCCCTTTCCGACTCTGCCATTCACTTCTGCACCATAAATTTTCTTTGTCACTCTTTCCTCCTTCATTCTTTCCACATGACCAAACCACCGAAGCATTCCTTTCTTAATCCTGGTCACAACATCATCTTGCAAACCACACTCTTCTCTTATTACACAATTTCTTACCCTGTCATTCAGATTCAGCCCTAACATACTCCTTAACGACCGCATTTCTACTGCGTTTATTCTACTCTCGTGCTTCTTCTGCCACACCCAACTTTCACTACCATACGTTAAAGTAGGGACCAACACAGCACTGTGAATTGCCATACGTGCCTTTTTCGACACATTTTCACTCTTCACAATAGAGTGCAAGGCCCCATTTACTCTATTTCCCGCATTCACTCGTCGTTCTATATACTTATCATATCTCCCATCCTGCTAAATACGCACTCATCTGAGCGCTGGCTTGATACAGGCATTGGATTGATTTATATATATATATATATATATATATATATATATATATATATATATATATATATATAAATAAGATAGAAGAAGATATACTATGATAAATAAGCTATGTAACAAATTTTGGCCACTTTTTTTATTCACATCACGTGGTAGAGCCAAGCTTCATCTGTATTATGCTCGATGAAACAAAAGACCACAATATATTGAGGACAAAGATGTATTTCTTTATAGGATAAGGGTGACAAACGAGCACACAGTCCACCTGATGGTAAGTGAATGCTGCGGCCTATAGACATCTACATTTAACCTCGATTTAGAATCAAAATGCAGATGCGTTGTCACCCCTGAGGACTAAGATGGAATGCCTCGGTTCCGGTAAAACGAGGTTCCGGTTCTCTACAGCTACTAAGCTACGTTGGTATTCTGTGAGAGCGTGGTCCTTCCGCAATCGAAGTTCTACTCGTTCAAAATTCCAGCCGTCAAACCCATTCATGCTACAAACCTAGGTAATGATAGCTGCAGCCGTGTACTACCAGTATAGATGTATGGAAATAACTTTTTATCAGTAGAATCAAGCACGGGAACGGTGTCCCGTGTGACTGTACTGCGAATATTGTAAATGTCCTTAAAATTGACATTGAAAATGATTAATATATAACATGTAACGTAAAATATTTCACATTTGCTAATGAAATTGTAACATAGCATTTTAAAAACATTGACCATTCTGTCGGTTCTTCTCTGAGAAGGTCTTGTTCTCCGAACCGGTGTAGATTTTGATGTACAGTTTCCATCCATCATCAATTACAGCCTATCAAAAGTCTACTGCAACATGGGACAACAGTGCTCTCCCATAGATTGCCTCATAAGGAGGATTATGTTATTGTTGGCACGTTTAGCAGGCCGGTCCGGAGCCGCTTTTTTTTACTATTTAAATTGTTTTATATGCAGCATTGAGTTATATGTACTACGTACTAGAGAAGCTATTCCAAACAAAAATGCGCGGGAAACAGTAGAGTCGCGCATGCGCAGTTGATATAAACGCGCGAAAATTGTCATAATAAGTACTTAATTGTTTATTTAGATTTTTTTTATTTTCGTTTATTTTGTATATGTGCTAAATTAATATAAAATTATTATTAGCGCCACTCCGCACCGCATGAATATCGAAGTATAATATAACAGGTGTACGGAATGCAGTACAGTTCCGTTGAACATAGTGTTCGGAATGCTAAATCTAGTGCGTGGTACATATATATTGATGGTTATCAGGAGGATGTTGCTGGCCATCTTGTGTTTTAGTTTTCCTCTATCGCTTCTTACGTTACAAGACGATATGGAGTACTAGATATTCTCATATCGCCACAACACGATCTAAGAGTTGTAAACAAGCCCTAATTAAATAAAAAATTTGACAAGTAACTCGTTTTTAATTTGAAAATACGTTTCCCTTATTACTAACTTAAAATTATTAGATATTACGTAATGATAATGTTATTACTTGGATTATTATTTAAGCTAAAAAACAAAATGTTACTAAACGAGCCGTAATACACATTACGAGTACATCTGACAACATAAATGTAATTAGGTACTACGATATATTACATTGAGTTATAATGTACTACGTACTAGAGAAGCTATTCCAAACAAAAATTGTGCGCTACTCTATGTCTTCGCGCATGCGCGGTAATAGTAGAGTCGCGCATGCGCAGTTGGTATAAACGCGCATTGCGCTTGCGCGGTCAGTTTTTGTTATTATAGATTATACGTAAGTAGAATGGTCAGTATGTAATAATTGTTTATTTATATTGTATTGTTAATTATATCGAGTACAATTTTTTAAATTGTTTTTTATTTTGTATATGTGCTAATTTAATATAATATTACATAATATTATGTCAGAATTACATTTTAATGATATTGTTATCTGAATATTTTAAAAGGTATCTATGTCAAATATAAAAAACGTACTAAATGTATGTTTAACAAAACTTATTAACATAAAATTTAAATTACAAATATATTTATTTAAATTAGAATCATAAATGTTGTAAATAATCGTTCATAAATGCTGGGCACGCGAGAGTTAAAAATGGACGAATTTATTCCACTTTGACTTTGAAGTGGAAACCTAAAAATAAAATAAAAGAATAATAAGTAGATTTAAACATGAAAAATTTAGCTTAATTATAATAACTTAAATGTTTCTACAAAAAAAATGTGCAGTATAATAATATATTCGTCCTAAACTTAAGTACCCACAGAAATGTCGCATCTGAACATATTAATTTCATAATCTATATTCAATGATACGAGATGGCGTCTTAGGAATAATTTGCTTTATTATTAATTTATAATACTTTTTTATTGAATAAGTATCTTATTAACTGGTGAAAAGTAATTCCTTGGTTTTTACTGACATTTCTTGAATTATTTGTGCAATATCTAAGTACACAAGACGGCATATTTTTATCAAGAGATTTTTTTAAATCAACACAACACGTGACAACTCTACAAGCGCCTAGCGAGTGACTGATTAAAGTGCAGTGCATGCACCGCAGTTGAGTGGAACAGAGTAGCTGAATGCAGTGTCTCCTCTAGTACGTAGTACATAATAGCTCAATGATATATTATAAATTTTTCTTCGTGTTATAGCAAAAAAATGGTTTATTAATAGTGGGTTTGAACTATTAATAACTCTTATGATTTCTTAAATTTACGCGAACACTGCATATTGAATAATACCACTTATACGACTACAACCCTAAAAAAATTCATACCCGACTTTCAATAAACTACGTTTTGTTATAAGACGGATAGTGTACAAGTATATTAACTCTTCTCTTTGCTTCGGTACTATGTATATGAATAGTGAAAGAAGTGTAGCCATTATATTGTTATGACAATACATGTTTTTCTTCTTCAGTATAATTCATTCATTTTACACTTTACAAATCCTAGGCCTTCCCCAAGGAATGCCATTAAGCACATTCCTGAGCCGTCTGCATTCATCGACTTCCTACCAGGTTATCATTCCATCAGGTAAGGGACCTACTTTACTTACCGGTACGAGGTTACCACTAGAGAACGAGAACCTTTCTTCACCATCGGTTCATCGGTATAATATGGTCGGCCCATTGCCACTTCAGCTAACTTATCTGTTGGGCTATGTCGGTTACTCCGGTTCTACTGCGGATATCCCGATTTCTAAGTTTATAACGTAGAGAAATTCCGGGCATAGCCCTCTCCATTAACTTCAATATGACATTAATATTAATTTCATAAATTATATTAGTCTATACCTACATGTTATCTAAAAAAATTAATATGCATACGTTAGTCAAGTTACAAAATAGGTAATATGAGAACGTTTACCCGAAGTAGTGCAGCACGTGATGCACTTTCCCCTTGCACCGGCCGGAGCGGTGTTTCTCCTTCATTTTAGCTGTGCCTGTGCCACACACTGACTACTCTCGTTCGGAACTGTTTCACACCTGGCTATTGTTCACTTTTCACCACACTCAGTATATAAGCTTATTTTTACACAAATCGATTAATATTTAAAATCTTTCTGCTGTTTTTTAAACGTTGTTGCGAACAATTTGAAGAATCGGCCAACAAAAAAATTGTTTAGAAAATATACTGTATAAATTTAGGGAAAATACTGGTGGACACCTGTTAAATTTCGTAACAAATCCTTAATGTAAAAGGAATATGATACCGAGCCTACTCCATATTGTTAAAACAACAAATAATACTTCTATTCATTAAGACATCATCAATATCAATGAACAAGTATTAAAAGGGTAATAATGAATTATTATAGAATTTCCTTCCAAAAGAAAAAATTAAGTTAAATTTAAGAGCCAGGGAACTAAAATATCCAAGAACAGTATCTCAATGTCTTAAATAATGCCGGTTATCGCGAATAGCTTTTCGGCAAATGGGCAAGTTGAGAACGCCGTCACCTGGCAACACGGGTAGTGAATCACCGGCTCGGATTCCTCCCACGGCCGCGCGATAACAAGTGGTAAACAGAAACGAACGACGCGTGTCTATTCTCGGATCGCGGAGTCCGATCATTGGAGAGCGTCATTAAAGCTCTTATTCTGTTACACTGAGATTTGATACGCTACAATCAATTGAAGAATCTGATAATCCATGTCTAAATGCGTATATTTTGCAAGAAACGTACGGTTATTGACAGTTTTAATCTTTTTTTTAACAGAAATAGGTGCGACAAACGTGCACAGTTCACCTGATGGTAAATGGATGCTGTAGCGCATAGACATCTCCATACACCCTCAATTAAGAAGCAAAATGGAAATGCGTTGTAAGCCCTAAGAACTAGGATGGAATGCATCGTTTTAAGTAAGTAGATTCTCTACACTCACCATACGAAACATTAACATTAGGCTGATATTTGACGCTGGTATTCCATGAGCGACACAAGTCAATCGTTATTAAAATACACACAATTAAATTTGTAATTAAGTAGTGTATTCTTTGAAATTGGTGTTAATTTATAAAAAGCTAAGTCTTGCCTCGAAGCGCCTCATGTTGTGTTGGTACGGACATGCCTGACGGTGTGTACAAAAAATTCATTTCCTGTCTGTGTTTTCTTGAAATAACGAAGAAAAACGCTTTGTACAGGTCTATTGGATGCGGGCAGATTTTATAACCGGGCAGTCGCTGATAATACTAAAAATCCAAAAACACTTTCGTACACAGGAGGTATGTAGGGATTAAAAATTATTAACCCTTTAAATGGTGTAACAATAATAACTTAAGTTTTTTTCATATAAAATTAGATTGACAAATTGATGAACGGAGCAAGTAATGATAAGGCTGACTTACAATTACTTTTAAAACCAGAACACCACATGGGGTGTTCAGCTACTTAACGGTTGAAATAGGTAAGAATATGGTCTTAATCCAGACTAACATCTAGGCAAAAAGGGGCTACGCCACCTTAAGTTAAGTACACGCGATAATGACAGATTATAGCACTAAAGAAGAATGAAGGAAGTTACTATTAAATTTAAAATTAATTAAAATATTATGGAAACTAAAATGAAAAAATGACATAGAAAAGGTCGTAAATAACATTGTAACGCCATAAATGGATCATAAGACATAGCATATGGTAGGATTGCCACCTTTTTTTTGAACAAATATAGTATTTTTCTCAAAAAAGATGCAAATATATAGTACTTTTGAGAAAATCCGGAGAAAAAAACACACACATTTTTAATCCTTATGCATTTTTTATATACATTTGTTATTGCTCTTTGCTTTGGTTATCAATGATCTAACCACCTTACCTTCTTTAGCTTTAAAATAATTATAGGAGTCAGACAACATAATAAATTAACAATTAATTTTTAATTAAATTAATATATGGGTCGATTTTGCCACTTTTTGAAGCAAAAAGATTCTCATATTTTGATTACTTATAAAAAACAAAATTGTAGGTAAATTGTTATGTAGGTATTTTAATCTCTTAAGCTCTTGCACTCCAAAAATTATGTAAGATGTACACTAAAAATCCAAGGAGTTAAATTCTTCCAGCCTCCAAAACTTTTTATACGTGGTAGTGCCATGCTGCAGTTATATTAGTAGTATAGTTGTAGCACGAATGAGTCGGTTCGACCGGGGAAGGACCACGCTCTCACAGAATACCAGCGTAAGATAGTAGCTTAATGCTGCTTGTGTTTCGTATGGTGAGTGTAGAGAACCAGAGACCCTTTTTACTGGAAATGAGGCATTCCATCTTAGTCCTCAAGGGTGACAATGCATCTGCATTTTGATTCGTAATCGAGAATATATGTAGGTGTCTATGGGCCACAGCAACCACTTACCATCAGGTGGACTGTGAGCCCGTTTGTCACCCTATCCTATAAAAAATAATTAACGAAAAATATGATGTCTTTTTGGCACTTACACTATAAAACTTATATTTTTTGTAATGAACATTTAATTAATTTGTGACTATCTGAAATGTCTCAATGTTAAGCTACTACATCGTGTTTTTCGTGTCTTTAAAACGCATTATTTATAGATTTATTACTATTTAAACTAATGTTTCATATTTTTACTTCTATGTTACTATTTTGTATGTTACCAAAATTTTCCCCTAAAAAGCATTGAAAACAGTTTGGTAATGTTTTGTAATTGCAGTGGCAACACCAAGTATTCAGGCAGCACAATGAAAAAAAAAAAGACGATCTTGTCGTCTCTAGAGTCTGTCAATGCGTGTGTTTCGGCAGTGAATTTTAATTGTTAATTGTAGCGATTTCAAAGGTAAATATTAGTTTTTCTTATATAATATTATGTAAGATTAACTAATAAGTGCGTGGTAATGTGTCTATGTTTAAAATTCACCTCGATGTCGAGTTATGTCTATTTATAACCTTTCAAAATCTTGCTTTAGCGTTACTTCTATGTACCTTTGATGTTACTGTACTGGTAATGTTGATTGTATGTTTCGTAACGTTTTACTGTTGCAAAGGTTTGCGCATACTGTAATTTATTAAATATACCTTTTTTGGCATAGCAACCTTTAAAAAAATATCAACCTTTTTCTAAAAATTTAATCGTGTAGAGTAACGAAAAATCCGTTCAGTAATTTTGTCTATTTGATATGCAGACGGAACTTTTTTAATTTGGTTTCCAAGAAGGTACAAATTCCTTAATGACATAGATTTTTATTTACTGGTATAGATTGTCGATGAAAGACTTGCCTTAACTAAATTGTTAAGTTCAGCGTCATTTAAGGAGTTTAGACATTCATTGAAACTGAAAAAGAAATTTTTTAAACATATTTTTGTGCCACTTAGTCAAAAAATAAAATAAACTCAAAAAAAGTAAAAAACTACACCAAAAAGAGTGAACTTTTAAACTTTTGTGGGAAACAGTTAAGAAATCGGTGCTATTTCTTTCTAAAAATAAAACCAAATCTCTGCTTACCACGTATTTTTTACGTCTGTTCTTAGTTTTTTTAATGTTTGTAATTGTATCCAGAATTAGCGTAGCGCGTCTGTATAAAAGTAAACTACGCGCACCCATCCACATTCTTCGTCATCTCAACTACATACCTACGAAAAATGTGTTGCGAGGCGGGTAATGTGACTCTTAGCCAATGCTTAATAAGCATGACTGCACGAATGAATTAGAGCACCTCAACCATAATATCCCTATACTTATCTGATTAACAATAAAACATTGAAATATTGAAACAACATATTAACATTGTCACAGATGACACCAATGACTGCAGCTGAAAAACAGAGAAAATATCGCGAAAAGTTAAAAAACAAAAACCCCCAAAAGGATAAAGAAATACAAAAAAAGGCCAAAGTAAGATCTGCACGCCACTATGTGAAAAAAAAGAGCACTTACCTATACTGAAAAACACAAACAAGAATTACGGCATAAATGGAGAGAAGATCGGAAAAAAGCAAAGGATGCAAAAATTGCATCACAAAATGAACCTGGGACGGCACATACTCCAAATTCAGAGCAAGATAATAAACAATTAACTTGCCGTAATATGCAACGCCGAATTGAATACAAGCTGAGACAAGAAACTGTTCAATTAAGACTACAGTTAAACACATTGACTAAAGGTTTCAAAGGTCTTCAGAAAAAATTTAATAAACAACAAAACAAAATAAATAAGATGCAGGCAGATTACGAAAATTTATTAACTAGATTAGAAAAGAGAGAAAAAGAGTATACATGCTCTTTTTCTTTCTTTTTTAATTTCACTTTCATGACGGAAAAATTATTTCCGTAAAACGTAAAGTTAGGTAATATAAAACAGCACGACAGTTGAATTAGGGATAAAATATAGTGTTTTTCTTACTATATTATTTTTTGATAACATATAGTACAATTGACTGAAATATAATACGATACTACATATTATAGTACGAGTGACATCCCTAGCATATGGACAAGTAACAACAGAATTTCTTGAAATGTAAAGAGTCATTTGTACAGAACTATAAATTCAAAAGAAACGTACTTCGTGAGCAAAGAAAAACCTTGCTTTATTAGAAAAACCAATAAGAAATAGCAAATAATTCGAATATTGAACCGTTAACGAAAGAAAAGCTGTACCTAAAGTGCCAAATAACAAAAAAAGAACCGGTTCTGTAAACATTTTAAAATTAAAAAGTATGCTTTACAAAAACTTGCTATAAAAAGCCAAGTTGGATGAAGTTATCTGTTCCACCAGTTTCCTTTTTGCACGACATATTCCGCACTTTGTGAATTTCGACAAATTAAAAATAAGACCGGTAAAATTACACCGAACATTCACGACCGAACACCATCCACTTTTCGATAGACACACACTAATTACGTCCAGCGATTAACACAAATTATGTAACCAATTACAAGATCCATCAAAAAGCAATATCATTAAAATACACTC